TATTTAGCCGATATAGTGGTGATGTGTGTGTGTGTGTGTGTGTGTGTGTGTGTGTGTGTGTGTGTGTGTGTGTGTGTGTGTGTGTGTGTGTGTGTATGTATGTGATGATAGCAAAAGATTGAGAGAGCAATTGAGAAAACATAAGTGCTATTATTTGTTGAGTAGTATATTGTTGTGTGTGATAGACGTGAAAAACATTATATTTGTAGGAATGGGTGAAAAACCCATTCGCAGACCCATTGGAGTGACACAACAGCTGTCAGAAAGACATCACTTATATATATATATATAGTAGAGATGGCTATCGATATATATATTATAAAAGCTATATATTATTATATGAATCATTACTTTAGACTACTTTGTCTGTGAGTTTGCATTTAATTTTTTTTATATCATTTCAGTGCAATGCCTTCATTTCAATCGTGGTATATATGCTTTCCTCGCACCGCATTTCGAGGCCTATGCCTACAAGTCTGCCCTTTCTTTCGCTAATACTTATCGGGTATTAACAATATTATATGTTTTTTATATAAAAAATTTATATATAAATATTATATATATATATACGATATATTTATTGTACAATACATAATGTATATATCATTGCATGCAGTACTTCCAGTATATCAAATATAATATTACTTTATTATATTTCAAGCAATACTATTATTTTCTGTTAAAATCCAATTCACTGTTTCACTGATAATAATTGAAAAGCTTTTAGTGGAACTGGTATTTAAAATATTATACAGGAGTCCAACATTCAGATGGATAGAGTCAGAGTTTGTGTGTATGTGTCGACACAATTGGTATATAATTTGCTTTTCTCTCTCTCTCTCTCTCTCTCTCTCTCTCTCTCTCTCTCTCTCTCTCTGTTTACCAATTAATAATTCAAAAGCATTAGTAGTACTTTTGTGTCCGTATTGATTAAAATGCTTAACAATAGTAGATTAAGGAGGGTTTATAGGATATATAAAGTTTGATAATATGATATGCAAAAGGGAGTGGGGGTAGAAAAGTATGGAAAGAGAGAGAGAGAGAGAGAGAGAGAGAGAGAGAGGAAGGGGTGTCCAAAAACTAGAATCATTGTAATAAAAATTAAACTTTAATAGAAATGGGTAATAAAATTTTAATTTAATTTAGACGACTTTCAGCAATATTTATAATTAGTGTTAGATTGTAATCAACTGTATTGTATAATATAAATGAATTGAAAATTTTTCATATTAATTGTTACTAACCATACGTTTTCAGTGATATATCGTTAAAATTCATACAAAACAATGACTCATTTGAACAATAATAAAAAATATACAATCAATTATTAAAAAATTAATTTTTTCTATTTGTAAGGATATAGACACAGATGTTTGACTAAAATTGATTGAAAGGCGTATAAAATAAGACATTTGTTGTATCATTGCATTCATTTAATGAACACAAATGTAAAGTTACAAACACTGGATAAGCATTTTAACCGTCACTTAACAAATAACATGTGAATTACCGTACGATTGAATGATAAGATGYGAGTGAGTGAGTGAGTGAGTGAGTGAGTGAGTGAGTGAGTGAGTGAGWGAGWGAGWGAGTGAGTGAGTGAGAGAGAGGAAGAAGAAGGGGAAATGCTTTTGGAGCAGATTATGCATCACTTGACTAATTATGATCAACATTAGCAATGGAAAGGCCTGTCATTTGGGAAAAGGGAGATAAAAGTTAAAACACGGTATGAGTTAAGCTTTAAGAGGAAAATATTCAAATAAATTATCATTTATGATGAGACAAATCCTATTATTTATCATATTTTTGCATATAATTGAAAGCTTTTCAAAAACATTGACTCCATATTCCCTCTTATTTTTATTATTATTTTATTATTATATTATAAATATATGCATTTTTCTGCGATATCTAATAATTTAAATCACATTTCATTGATTATTAAATACCCTGTTTTGACAAATTGATTACATCATAAATACAATTTTATAAATATAGACCACAAATGGTTTATTATGTAAAATGTTTATWTAAAATGAGTATTAACTTAGTTAACATATTTTTAATTTAGATAATTTATAATATATTATTTTGTTGTTAATTTATACAGTATTTTGAAATTTGTTTTATATAATAATATTTGTTAATCGTATTGTAATTTATTAAACAATAATATAAAAATTATTACTATTATGTTTTATAAACTATTGATTTGCGTGTAAGGTTTTATATACAGTAGATTATCAATATTTACAGTATATAATGAATTAAATTAATGTTATGCTATATCTTATGGGATGAAATAGAAATCTAAAACAAAAAATAAAAATAAGATAACTTAAAATAAAATCAATAAAACTAGTAATTATTTAATATTAAATTAGATATTATATTGCAGGTAATAATATCATTTAGTATATAATATTAAGTTTAAGAAAATTTATATAATAGAAGCTTATGTTATGAATAAATAGCAAATATTGAATAATTAAACAATTAAATAAAAATAGAAATAATATTTTATTCAAATACTAGTTTAGTTTAATATACAGCTCATATTTTCAAAATATCACTTTTACAAATAAAATAATATGGTAAGTGCTAATAATAAATATGATAACTAATAAAAATTAATTATCATTGTAATACATTTAATTTAATGGTAATCGCATTTATTAAAGTATCATTTAAAGACTAAAATTAGAGAAAAATTTTAATTAATTACAAGTAATGACTCGTAATGATTATTATTATTAATATAATATTTTATTAGTAATACCTACCAATAAATTATTTGAAATATATTATAATAATGATATACAGTATATAAGTTTATAACAAAATGTTTTCATATAGCAAAATAGGGAGTAAAACTTATTAATTTAATATTGATCTAAACAAAAAATATTATAATTTCCATAACAATAGAAATTATACAGTATTTGTAAAAAACGCAGTGATTTTTGCATTGATTATTGATTATCATATAATATACAGTACTATATTAGTGCAGTATAAAAAATCTATAGTCTATTAGATTATCTACCATTGAGTGATGTATGAAATTAAATGTTAATTTTTTTATATACAAGGCTATACAGTAATGTCGTAGAAAAATATATGAATATAAATATTAGATAAGGTTTTGTGTTATAAATTAGATTAAGTATAAGAAAATTGCAAAAATAAGAAAGAAAAATAGTAGATTAAGTTATGAATTGCTATAATTTGTTATTTAAGTGTTATATAAGTAGTAAAGCATACACTGTATTATATAATACAATATAATATAATAGTTTAGACCATATAATACAGTATATAAAGTATTGTACAATATTTATAARTTGTGTATACAATATGAGCCTAAAGTATATCTATATATATATATATATATATATATATAACATAATATAATAATAAGATTGATGTCAACCATCATTTAGGTGCCTCTAGTGGCCAGTTCTCCACTGTTTCCACACCACGAGCGCAGTCATAGCGGCAGTGGTTATGCCAGAGATGAAGCCAAAGAAAGACAAGAGTTTTATGGCATTAACTTAGAGCCAAATTATTGGCCGGCAATAACAAGTGTACTTAAATGGTATCACTGGACTAACTTGATCTACATTTATGACTCGGATTATGGTAAGTATTATAATGGGATCAAATGCGGTGATATTTGATCAAGAATTTTATGAAACGTTAAAAATCTKATATTAAAAAATGATTTGTAAAATTTGTAGGCATTTTCGARCTCCAGGAGCTACTGAAACACTCGCACCGAAGTGAACATAGAATTCAACTGTCAATCGTTAAGCGTGTATCCAATGCTGGTGAGGGATACAGTATGCTTAAGGCTTTGGACAGGGAGACCAAAGACACCATGAAATATGTTATACTTAACTGTAAACTACACATTTCCAAAGCCATGATTGCCTATCATATTCAGGACACGGCTATGGAAAGGCATACATTTCATTACTTATTGACTAATTTGGTAGGTTTTTTCAAGTCACTACTGCTTTTAGGTTCACTTTATTCATTGTCCATTCCATGCCATTTGGCACTCCATGTGCTTAATATGACCGACCAATTAATCTCGTGAGAGAAACTCGTACACAACTAATCGAAATTTATACTTCAAATGATAGATCCATTAAGACACACACACACACACACACACACAAACACACACACACACACACACACACACACACACACACACACACACACACACAAACACACACATTACATACAGTATATACTGTATATACATTATATATACGGTATATACATGCATACACACATAATGATGTTTTATTTAGAAAATTTTATTTTCAAGATTTGCTTATCATTTAGAATTTTATGTTTCATTTATTATTTGTGAGTTTAGAAAAGTTAGTTAACAATTATATTAAGTAAATATTATAACATATTATGTTCATTACTATTACAGTACAGTATTGTACTAAATGTTAATTTGAATTCAGATGCTATCTCTTGTGTTTTAAAAAAAACTTTTGTAACTTATATTGTCTTTCTAGTGAAAATCAATAGACAAATACAATTTAATTAATCTCTCTCTCTCTCTCTCTCTCTCTCTCTCTCTCTCTCTCTCTCTCTCTGTTGTTATGTTTTTTATTGTAACGTTACATAAARAAGAGTTTAAAAAAGAAATGATAGAAAAATAGTAAATAAAATGTTAGTATAAACTGTTTGTCAGTGTTGTTGTGCTGTAATTTAGTGTYAGTGCAGAGCACAGGGATTTTATGTGATTCATTCATTTTCTCCAAGACTTCTAACATTTCAATAGTTAATTATCTGTTTTTTTCAGCGATTGCTATCATTATACTGTATAATGTCTGTCTATTACTGATGGTCTGGTCTACTACTTTATACTATAGGTGCTGAGCGACTGGTGGTCTAAGGAAATTCCGGTCGCTTTCAATGCCGTCAACATAACGAGCTTTGCATTACCAACAAACAAGTTGGAGATCAAGAAGATGACACATATGAAGAGTTTAGGCCATAATAATGGATTAATGGATGAGGAAAGAGCACTATCGGTGAGTTGACAGTCCTCTTAAAGGACTACTCTATATAAAAAAAACTGTATTTCCATTATTCACACTCTACTGTAGTATATTGTAAATCAATGATTTTGCTTCCAGCTATAAATAGTGTTCATAATAATAATAAAAATAATAGATATGTGAATTGTAATAGACTTTTGACATTTGATTATTATAATTGTTATGTAATATACTATATATTTTGTTATATTTTGTTATATACTTTTGATTGAATAGCTGGAGGAAAGTCTGGCATATGATGGCACACGAGTTTTGTTGGAGGCATTCAATCTGATAATACAATCGCAAATAAATTTTAGCAAAGCTCTGGAAAGTGAGGCTCCAGTAGTTGTTTCAACTGTCAATTTGACCAAAAACCATATCGATCCGACCTGTCCTACACTCAAACCGTTCAAATTTGGTGAAGTCATTGCAAACCATCTAAAGATTGTTAGTTATCTGCAATTTTCTCTTGTCTTTTGTTTGTTTGTTTGTCGTCGACTTGTTTTTACTTATACTTCAAATATAATTCTCAATTTCTCTTTCTTTTCTGTCCACTATTGACACTGATTTTCAGCCTTCAATGCACTTATTTTTTCTTTATTTTCTCTCTTTCTCTTCTCGCATGAATTCAATGCATTTATTAAAGAAATGAGACATTAATCTCAGTCATCATCGCTTTCATATTACTTTATATAAAGTATATATATATTTATATATAAATTTATATCTGTTATAGACGTCAACCACTGGCATCACCGGTAATATCGAGTTTCACAGCACTGGTCTCAGAAAGAATTACTCGATCGAAGTCTTCGAGATCACCAATAATGGACTCTTCGAGAAGGTATTCATCTCTCTCTCTCTCTCTCTCTCTCTCTCTCTCTCTTTCATTATATGATTTGATCTCTATTTTTATCTCAACACTCAATTTCTCGGACTTTTTATACATACAATACATTAATACATATTAAGTACTTTGTGARGCATTTGTTCATCACTTTTACCTTTAAGGCAATATATTACAACACACAACACATTACATACACACAAAAAAAGTTATATTTAGTGCACTTCTTGTATGATGTTTGACGTCAATACTTGACTGTTATATAATATTAACAAATAGAAAAAAACAAATATTATATTAAATATAATTTATATAACAAAAAATTAGATTAAAATAAAGTTTTATCCAGGGTTAATACAAGTTTATAGCTAAAATTATGTTTGTTTAATAATTTAAATATTTTAAAATATTTTAATAAACACGCATTATTTGAATATATATATAAATTTAGTTTATTTTTAAAGCTATTTAAGTAATATATTAAATTTAAGTATTTGTTAAACCAATTTATTATTACAAAACTACAGCACATAAAAGATTATTGTTTCCTATATTTTTCAAAATATGAGTGTTTTCTTGAGTATTGCTATTTTATTAATCATATTTCCAAACAACAAAAATTTACTCATTTTTCACAAACATTTTATTATTAATATATTTTAATATTTGATTGATTTTTTTACAGATAGCCTTGTGGTCGGATATTTCGGGTCTCAAAGTATTGCAACCAAACAGGTATCGCATCGGTGGTGAGCCGACACCAACCAACCAGACTCTAACCTATACCATCACATCTATTTTAGTGAGTATTTTATCATATAATCGCATTGTTAACTATCATTATTCAATGAATTGTCATTCAAATTTATATATCATTAATGATTATCAATTTTCTTATCAAACATTTTTGTTTTTGTTGGTTATAATATAACATATATATATATATATCGTATATATTGTATTTTTCTTATTTGTTACAATAAGATCATACAATAATACATAAATTGTATGAAATAAAAATTATTGACTGAGAAAACATTAGGAAAACTATAACTTATATATACTATATATAGTGTATTACTATATATATTTTTGTTGTTGTATTACATGATATACTTTATTTATATCACTTAATTCATCTCTTTTTTTAATAGAAAGACTTCAAATTCATTAATCAAATAAAACTCACTATAATTTGATCCTTAAATTAATGATTACGTCTGTCCTTACAAATGATAGCGAAAATCTCGTTTTTATTGTTAAATAAATGATTATTTTATGCTAAACCTACAGCTTTTATGCAATGACACCAACAATTGATACACAGAAAAAACAATTAATTATCTCTCATATACACGAATATATAGGAGGATCCCTTCCTTATGGCTAAACCGGAAAAGAAAGGAGTTGTCCTCAGAGGAAACGATCGTTTTGAAGGATATGTTAAGGATCTGATCGATTTATTAGCTCATATGGTTGGCTTTGAATACACTATACATTTGGTTAATGATTCCCGATATGGCGGATATTATGGCAGTAATATTACCGATGGTCGTTGGAATGGCATGATTGGTGAACTGATCCGCCATGAAGTTCACATGGTTTGCATTTTGTTATCAAATATGAAATAATCCAATTGAAAGTAATATTTCTCTTCATACAATCAGGCAATCGCACCGTTGACTATCACACACCAGCGTATGTCTGTTGTAGACTTTAGCCATCCGTTTATGACGAGCGGCATATCKATGATGTTTAAGAAGCCTAACATTACACCCCAAGACATGTTCCCATTTGTGCGACCATTGAGTAAGGAGGTCTGGGCGGCCGTTGCGTTGGCCGTCGTTATTGTTTCATTCATCTTCTATATCGTATCGAAGTTGTCCTACGATTATGACATTCATGACAACAGTACMGACAATAACACCACAACCGTATCGTTATGTTCCAGTCTTTCCTATTCAATCGGTGTCCTCGTCTATCAGGTATCCGGTGTTTATCCGCACTCCATATCGAGCCGAATAGTATCAGTCGTTTGGTGGCTCTTTGTATTCACAATTGTTTCAACATATTTGGCTAATTTGACGTCTAATTCAGTGTTAAATAAAATGAAGTTTACGTTATATCATATCTCTGGAAAATATGAGTCAATTAGCGATGGATTTCTTTATTGTAAATAATAATTTTTTTAATCAACTTTTAGACTGAAAATGTTGATAATTGCTGAAAAATTGTCTTTTTAATTGTTTAATTAGATGACCAAATGCCAGTACCAATAGCATCGGTCGATGATTTGGCCGATCAGAATGTCATTGATTTTGGTTTCTTAAGAAACTCGGCTACAGAATCGTATTTTAAAGTTAGATAATTGTTTTTTACATTATTTCTAATGTTTTTGTTTGATATAAAAACATGTTTTTTCTCTAAACATTGAAACATAGAAATCAAAATTATCAATAATTTGGAAAATGTGGAAAAAGGTTGATGAAAAAAGTGATCAACTTTTAGTCAACTCTTATAGAGAAGGCATTCAAAGGGTACGGGACTCGGATGGACAGTATGTCTTCCTATTGGAGTCGCCGGTCAACGATTATATTAACGATCGTCAGCCATGCAATACATACAGAGTGGGCAAAGATATTAATATTGTTGAATATGGAGTAGCACTGCCTAAAGGATCGCCTATTAGGTCTGTATTTTTTTGTAATTATATCTTTTCAAAAACAAATTGAAATTAAGATTAATTTTTGTTTGTTTATTAACACTTTAATTAGAGATAAAATAAATGAAGCAATTATACAATTGAAGGAAAATGGAGATTTGAAAAAATTGCAAAATCACTGGTGGAGGGATAGATCTCAATGCAAATACGTTGACATTAAAGTAATCAAATTATCTATTATTATAATATTGAATTTTGGTCATAATTACTAGTTTTATATAACTATTTTTGTTTATTTGTTTAATTAGGATTTATCCAACTCTAACATAACGTTTGACAATATAATCATTGGTCTCATTGTTTTGAGCGCCGGTCTTGTGTTAGCCTTTTTCGTGTCAATCGTTGAACACTTCTGTAACCGAAAGATCTCATATAAGACAAGACAATCAAATTATACCATTTCTGTGAGTTTTCAGACATTTTTTATTTATAAAAAAAATGTTTATTATTTTTTTGTACGAATTATCTAATGGTCTGTTAGAAACAGGAGGAACGGGAGGAAAATATTGAAGATATTGAAGACAAAAATTCAGCCAAAAGAAGAATTATCAAAAACTAATAATATTTTTTTTCACTAATAATTATCACACGAATTATGTTTGTTTTTCTTTAATAATATTATGCATACAATACTCACTTGTAATTTAGTTTTATATAATATATGAAAAAAATTACTTAAATTTTTTATTAAATTTTTGCATATATTGTATGTAATTAGGTGTAAAAATTTATAATAATTGACAAAATACTGACAAATATAGAGCTATTTAGAGACACATTTCACAAATTGCATAGTTTGCTACACATAATTTGCAACTTTATAATATTTGTATTCAAAAAAATTTTTACTATAATTGTAAAAAACTTTTGTAGGATTTTATATACATTTTTAAAAACAAATATAATTCAAATGCCTTTTGAAATCCTTATTTATATCTATTATACATTACATTACATTGTATAATATAATAATTCCTGTTTTTATACAAGTTTACAGAATAATAAAAAAAACATTTGTATTTCAATACTTAATACAATAGCTAAATAAATAGCAAATTTATAATGAATTTTCTATTAACACTAATGATTATTAATTGTTAAATGATTTGCATTGTTTAATTTAAATACAATTGCAATAAGTATAGACAATTCAATACAATCACAAATGCATTGGTAAGTCAATAGACATGACATTTCTAACAACACTCACTATATTATACGTATTTAAATATAATTTTAAAAATATCTAAAATTAAAAAAACACATAGTTTTAATTATTTTCAATAATAATTAATTTATTACCGATACGTGATTGTACTATATTTAGGTATAATATTTTAAGTATTAAAAATGATTAGTTTTGTTGATATGTCTTAATCCATGTTTTTCCTGAACAATAGTAATGCTATCGACTATCTGTCCACTCTAGTTGTTTATAAATTAATAGATTCAGTAATCATTATTTTTAATAATACGATCAAATAACAGCTCATACCTTATCATCGGACACCTGTTCCAGTGATAGGTGGGTGCCATTCAATATATGAATCCTTGTATAGCCATAATCGGCAATTCTTATAGCACTCCACGGCGGAGGGTTTGCCACAAACGAGTCGTGTCTTTCCTTACATCCCTAATTAATTAAGAGTTAATTTATGTTTTGTTATATATATATATTAATAATTATTTTTATATATTACCGCCGATCCAGTGATAATATGTACGGGTGCGGGTGGATTAGTATAAGGTTCATCAGTGCTACCGTTGTAAACTTGGCGGTCATATAACGGCCACATTCTTTCGTAGACGTGTTCGTGAGCCCAGAGCTCCAGATCGACGCCGTACTCATAGAATAAATCTTCTAAACCTAATGTATGCACAATTGGCATCCCTTTCCTTGTCTTTAAATATTAATCAAACAAAATAGTCCTTATATTTCTTATAATTTGATTCAAAAAAAATCTTGTATACAGTACTGTATATGCCTTACAATGCATTCTTTATGTGTGCAGTCATCTCTATTATATTCAACAAATTATATATTAAATTAGTGATATTAGTAGCTAATATGGATTAACTTTAATAATAATCAACTAACTACCTATCCTCTGTACTACAATACATAGGCCTGTGTCCCATTGTTATAATCCATGGTCTTAATAATCTGTTTTCAGGTTTATTAGCTTCTCGTAAATCTTCTAATAGCCAATAGTATTGATAAACCAATTGTTTCCATCCGTATTCTATGAAGTAATAAAACTCAGTGGACAGTGATATGATATGAGCCGGTCCTATATTAAAGCTATAGTAGTGATTGTTGATTGAACCGGTATTACTGTTGGCCATTGAAAAACGATTGTCATAATTGGAGAAATTGCTAAAAAAACAATTTTACAYATTTTTTAACGTTAGTCATTAATTAAATTATATGATATACAATAATTATTTTAAAATCTCATACTATTTATAYTCATGATTCCCGGGACACACCTGATAGGGCACATAAGCTGCTATCGGCTCTATTTGTCTCATAAACTGATCGCCGACTCTAGCATTGTCCTAAAAATGTTTATAAATACATAATTAAATAAATATATAAAAATATACTATAAATTCTAACCGAATCCATATCATAGGCAAAATCACCTAAAATTGTGAAAATTAGATTTTATTTATTTATTTTTATTTTATTTTTTTTTTAAATATTTTGCAATTGATATTAACCAATATGTAAGACGGCGTCATACATGTCTCTCTGGACCTCCTCCTGTAGTCTGGGTATTGACTGTCCATTTTCATTACCTAAATCACCGAACACTGCTAATCTGGGACTCCAATCACTGCCCTCTTTCATAGTAGTAAACCAAAAGACAGTACTCCAGCCATCAGTACTGCCGCAGTGATACACTATTTATTTATTTAAAAAAAACAATACTGTATCGCATAAACATGTAAATAATTTTTAAGATATCCTACTGTAGGTGGTTCCCGGTATCAGATGTTTGAGCACTACTCGATGAATATAAATAGGTCGACTTTCATTGCCACCATCAATGAACAATTTATGGTGACCTACAAATCGATCAGTCAATGAGGAAATACCGAATTCAACTACCGATCCATTGGTGGCGTCAAATGTTGTCCACGTGACTATCATCTGAGTGGCATTGGCTGCAAATATCATATAAATATATATATTTTACATATCTTAGGACTGTTATGTGAAAGTAATGTCAATATAATTGATACCTCCATATGATAGGTGCACCTGTTCAGGTTGGGTACGCAATACTCCATTAGCCCATACAATATTAATTGTAAAAAATAATATTGTTTTAATCATAATTATTAATTCTATGATTAAATTCTTTATAATACATAAAAACAACTTTTCAGTATTTATTAAAATAAATAAATAAATATAAAAATTTTATAGAAATTTGTTAAGCATTTGTTTATCACAAAGTTTTTGAAAAAATTAAATTTTTATTGACATTTGATTGTCACTTGATTTGATAAACAAACTTATTTATCAAATCAAATTCCCTAATCATCTAATTTATGTTATATTTATATGTTTTTAATTTAATTTACGGACAAAAATTTATTATTTTTACATATAAAATAAAAATATGAYATTTTATACCAATTGAATTATAAGAATWATAAAGCAATTATTTAATTTTTAAAAAATAACAACAGATTAAAATAATATCAAAGATTTATTTGCATATAATAATTTATAGCATTTTTATTGTACAACTGTACTGTATATGTWACAACTGTTTTTATTTTAAACAAAATATAACAATTTAATTAATTACTTTTTATGATAAAATATACAGTACACTGGTTTAATATTGCATATGTATGTTATAGACATTAATTTAATATTAATTGTTTATATCCTGATAGTTATACAACTGTATACATCATATCCCTCTTAATCGTACACATGTTTTGTCAATAATATTGATTATTATTTGTATATACTGTACAATCAATTTAAACATTTGTATATAGATTTTATTATTATAAATATTATTACTGCTATTACTGTATATTATTACAATATAAAAAGTATAGATTATTTAATAAATCTGTCGATAAAATTATTTATTAACTTAAACGGATTTATTAATAAATTACTTAAAATGTGTGGTCTATAATGATGTAATCTAGGTAAATTATTTGCTATAAAAAAATTAATAAATAGAAAAAAATWAATAAAATCAGTTTTAAAATTAAAGCATTTGATTAAATTAAATCATATTACTATGCATTTAGTAGATATACCTATAGTAGGAGCAACAGGTGCAGCAGCAGTAGTGCTGGTTGTGGTGGTGGTAGTGCGGGTGATAGTGTGGGTGGTGGTAGTAGTTATAGTTGGGGTTGTGGTGTTGATGATGGTTATTACGGGCGGTTTATCTGTTATAGTGTTGACCGTATTTGATTCATTATAACCAAACAGATTATAATTAGTTGGTCCGCACGGAGGTTTCAAATCGGTAACAAACTGACAAATATAATACATTTTTATATCGCATGGATAGTCTGCCCATTGACCTAAAAACATATTATCCGAAATTATCATATAAACACAATCCTTATGATTAAACAAATCGCTTGGTTGTCCCTTATGCCAGCGATTATAATATTTAACACCACAACCACTGCGATACTGGAAGTCTCTAATGCCTCCTAACGGTACCCGTTTAGGTCCGATCCATATCTGGGGTTTATTATTGTTGTGTATGTCATCGTTATARTCGGATTGCAGATGAAAAGACACTTTAAATTAAAATAATCATATTTTAATAAGAAAATACTAATTATTTTTTTAAAAAACAATAACCCTTACCCCCTGTTTCATTGAGTGCTTCAATAACTTTAAAATTTTCATCATAAGAGTGTATTTCCATTAAATCAAATCCGGTTCCCATTTGTTGACACCGGCGCTGACCCTCATCTCTGCCGACTAACTCGTAAAACGGTTTAATGCATTTAATTTTGTTGCCGTTATTTAATTTAATTTCTTTCCAATTTCGAGGACACGAAACTAATTAATGTTATCATTTATAAACTAAAATATGATTAAATTGTATACAAAAATTACCGAATATTTACCAATTACATCGGTCGCTTTTAAATAATGTACTGTCAAATTAATAATTAATAAAAATTTTATCATAATTTTTATATATATATCAAAAAATGTTTAGATAATAAAGTTTAAAAGTTTAATAACTTAAACATTTGAAATTAAATAAATGTGATTTTCTTATTATACAGTATTTATGAATATAAAACAATATATATACTATAGTATATATAAAATCTGCAGGATCATAATGTTACTAATTTATTTTAACAATTTGTATTGACTGTCAAAATGATAAATAGTTACATATATGGTAAAAGTTATCAATTATATCMATTACATACTAGTTTTTGTCTTTATGTAGATAATGTTTCAATTAATCGTCAATTATCTACTATAGCTTATGTTATTTAAAATAATTAAACATATTTTTGAATAGTCAAAATGATTAAATATACATAATTCCTCTTTTTATTTTTATTTATATAACATATTTTATTACTATTGATCAAATTAAATCCAGTAATAATAAAAATMTAATGAACAGTAGATCGAGATTAACTTAACTTTTTTATATTAATATTATTTTCTTATTACAAAAACATAAAAATATAAGATAAATAAAAGTTACACAACATAATGAACAAAAAAGTATTAAATTAAAATTTTTTATTAATTTTCGTTAAAATAGAAATAATGTTTTTTTTCTAAACATCTGTAAATTATAATATAAATTATCATTAAATGTCTACTTATATTATATTTGATTATTTATAAAACACTCAAAACTACAATTTAGAAATGGTTAATTGGATAGCAATACTTATATCAAGTATAATATTGTTAACATCATTAATATATTGGTAACTAATCATCACATTAAGTATATCATAGATACATAATTAATATATTTTCTAAACAATAAATAAAGGTATTCTAGCCGTAAATTAAATTATTGGAAAAGTTTAGGTGTGACCGGCCCTAAGCCATGGCCACTATTTGGTAATTTACCGATGACTTTATTTAGGTCATTTCCCGTACTTGAACTAGAGTTAACTAAAAGATATGGCAAACTATATGGGTTTGAATTAATTTCAAGTTTATTAATTACAATACAATTTTTTATAATTATAAACAATTATTAATATCAGACTTTTTAGTGGACATATACCGGTACTGACTATCAATGATCCGAATCTGATTCGTGTCGTACTAATCAAAGACTTTCACTTATTTGCCAATCGCCGCAAATTCAATACYAAACACGAAATACTGGATAACAATGTGTTGTATGCAAGAGATGACAACTGGAAGCGAATGAGATCCATATCGAGTAATATATTTTCAAATGTCAAACTCAAGACAATCTATCCATTGCTGTCGAGTTGTGTCCACGACTTAATTGATATCCTAAAAGTGTTGGCCATTAATGGTCAAGACATCAATCTGAAAGAGTTATGCGGAAACTTGTCGATGGATGTGATAGCCAAGTGTGCTTTTGCCACACAAATCGATGCCTATAAAGATCAAAACAATCCGTTTATCATAAATGCACAGAAAATATTTCATCCGAAACTCTATAAACTGATTGCCGGCTTTGTCTTTCCCAAATGTCTGCTAAGAGTGCTAAATATTACCACTGTTTTTGATGATAATGCCAATCGATTCTTCTTTAGCATTAGTCGTGAATTAATCAAAAAAAGAAGACTAAACTCTGAAATCCATAACGATTTGTTTCAGCTGTTTATTAATCAAGAAAACGAAATCAATGACCAAAATAATGACAATAATTGTAATGAAAAACAAAATAAATGTAAAGAATGTATAAGTTATCTCTTATTTTGTTTCTTAAAATTTAATTAATAGAATAACAATTGTTTTAATTATAGTTTAAAATATATAATAACAGATTTGGATTCCGATTTGGATAAAGTGCTGACCAATAGTGAAAAATCTATTAAAACAAAGACATGTCTAACAGATACAGAGATTATCTCTCAGTCATGGCTTTTCCTGTTAGCCGGTTATGAAACGGTGTCGACTTCACTCACTTTTTGTTTATATGAGTTGGCACTCAATGTTGAAGTCCAGGAAAAACTTTACAGTGAAATTCAATTAGCCATTGATGAAAATGGACACTTCGATTATGAGAACCTCTCGACACTACCCTATTTGGATGCCGTTATTTCCGAATCATTGCGTTTGTATCCGGCGTTTATTAGGGTCGAGCGCGAAGCCAAACAAGATTACCAATTTACCGATAGCGACATTAAGCTTAAAGCCGGTCAATTGATTCATGTATCTATATATGGTGTCCAACATAACGAAGAGTTCTTTCCCGAAGCAGAGAAGTTCATACCGGAGCGCTTTCTTCCCGAAAATAAGCATAAAATAGTTCCCTATTCTTATCTGCCGTTTGGCGTCGGGCCGCGTAATTGTGTGGGACTTCGATTGGCGCTCATGGAGATGAAAGTATGTGTAGCCAATGTGATCAACCAGTTTAGGTTAAATGCCAGTAAACGTACAGACATACCACCCCGGTATATGACTAACACTCACGTTTGTGTAGCTGAGCCCCTATTTATTAGTATTAAGTCAAGATAATTGTGCGGTTATATTATATTTGTAGTCATGTAATTACCGGTACATTGTATACACACATATTTATAGTTAATAATAATAATAAGACAAAATAATATTCAATGGTAATATTATCATTATTATTAAATTGGCAAAATTATATGCTGATTATGCTATTAATTTATCAATATAAATTTATATATATATGGTTTATTTATATCTTTATATATGTATTTCGTTTATTGCACCAAAAAAATACTTTATCGCATTACTTTGAACTGACATTATTTAATTTATCAGTTATTTAAGAGTATCATTGAATTGTATGTATTAATCTTTGTTTCAAAATTTTCAAAACTAAACGAAATAAATATCAATTAAAGTATTTGTGTGTGACTTTCAAATTATACTGAAAACTAATAATTATTTATTTTAAAAAGTATCCCAAATATAAGTCACAAAAACATATTAAACACTTGAATCATGAGATTTTATACACACATACACAGTATATAAGTAAATATAATACCGTATCAAATAATATACACCAAAATAGTATTTAATCGCAATAAAAATTTGTTGCTATGCTTTACAAATAATAATTAATTTATATTAATAATAAAATAAAAATAGGAAACTAAACCACTTTGTTTTGGCATATTATTTATCAGACATTGAATACTCGATTAAATATTATAATAAATTACTATAAAAATTATAACTAATAATAATAATCTTATTATTTATTCAAATTCAATTTATTTAATATATATATATATACGGTTTTTTGCATTGTTTTCCATAAGAGTCATTTTATATATTTATTTATATATATACAGCAATTTTCATTTGATAACATATAGACATAAAATGCTTGTTTTTAGATATATATATATAATAGTCGACTTCAAGCATTGTTTTGCTCAGAGAAATATAATCATTACTTTGGATATTCATTACATAATAAATTAATTATTCATTTATAATATTCAAATAATAGCTAAAATATTAATAATATTGGGAACATTTCAATTACAAATTATCATTAAAAATCAATTTAAATAAATTTTCTAATTGTAATAAGTTTTAGAAAAAAAAACAAAATTCTGCGTAAATTTGCATCCAATAAGTTGGGAAAATAATATACAGAATATTTAAAGTTTTAATATAATAATGTATAGAAAGATTCAAAGTATAACACATTTAAGAAAAAGCACACTTTTTTCAATTGTTTGGCAATTTTGTGTAGAGTTTTATCTAAAAAAATTTTTTAATACTAATTGCATTACACCCTATGATAGATCTGTATGAATGAAATAAAAATTGTAAACAAAAACAAATAAGTGAACAGTTATAATAATAATTTTAATCAAATGACTTAATAATAACTTACAGCTTGGAATTGAATTGGATTCGTATCGCCTCTGGATCTGGTCGTACGTGAACTTAACAAACGTGTCGTATTGCTCTGTAATGTAATGTATAAATCATATAAAAAACAAAAATAAGAGATTCTGATGAATAATATTAAGAAACACATGTTATGGTAAATACCGGCTAATTTGGTGTTGAGAACGTCATCGTATTCTTGTCTAATTTGAGTCTCCCTTTCCTTGAGTACCCGTTCGCAGATAAGACCCACTTGTCTAAAGGTAAAGAGCGGTGTATCACGTCTTGAGGGTGACAAGAGTCCCATTGATGTCGAGCTCAGCGCTTGCATCTCGTGAGGTGGCGAAGAGAAACCACTAAAATCAATCAAACATTTTATTAGTTACTAATAATCATCAGTAATATTAGAAAACTAATTCAATACTAACTCTTGTAAACTACTAGAGGGTGAGGGCGGGTGTCCTGAATGTGAGCTCTCATTGGAAGTGTTGGTCGACGACGACATGTGTGAGACATGTAATTTCTTGCGGTTGTATAAGCGTTGCATTTCTTCGCGAATACTGACCGCTATTTCCTCTGCAAAACAGAAAATACATTAATCAATGTTAAACACTATCAGTTGATTATCAGTAGACATACCTGAAGACAATTTTGGCTGAATTTCACTGAACGGCGAGCTCTTCTCTGGCATTTGTGGACTCATTATAGTTGACAGACATCGTCTTTTGGCAGCTCTCGAGGAGTGGCCGTAACCGTGAGCCGAGTCCTTGTGGCCACTATTGTGTGCTGACGGCGGAGACATCGACGGATCGGTCCATTCAAGCGAACGTTTGAGTGTCGCGCAGGCCATCACTCTATTGACGTTTCGGTCTTTTAAATAGTGATTAGTACTCAAGTGGTGGTCACACTTCGGGCGGTGGACACACGTTTGCCAATTACCAGTTGTGCGGTATTTGTGATCTCCAACCAAACTGTTTGGCCAATCAATTCAACKACTGATTCAATAGATTTCAATAATAATAATAATAAATAAATAAAATGATTGAATGAGTCGTTTGAATGCTAATGAATGCCAACAATGAATACAATGATTATATGTATATAACTATTATATCATATAATAAATTCAATGCTATTATTATTATTGTTATTAATTCATAAATGGATTGAAACTGCAATCAAAAAATGACTAATAAATTCAATATAATATAAATAATAAAAAGTAATTATAACTATAAACTAATGGTTCAATTGATTTACTATAACCAACACAGAGATCACTATTACAGTAGTTTACTGTGTGTTAGAAAAATACAACAATCATTGTATGGTTTTATATTTATTGAGTCAATAACTACAGTATTACTACTATTACTACTGCTGTATATTAATACTGTAGTATTGCTCACAACAACTACTCTAATGCATACACAATGTAAAGCATTCACAGCTCAATACATACATAGAGAGAGAGAGAGAGAGAGAGAGAGAGAGAGAGAGTGTGTGTGTGTGTCGACCAAAATGACCGTTTGTTTACAAAAATTCTATTCAATTATTTGCTTATTATATTAATACACGATATCTGCAGTCAGTATAAAAAGACAACACACTTGAACTCTATGCCACAATTTGGACCCTTTTGTTTACATTAGTGATACGGTATCGGTAAATATGACATTTGTACTGATAAATAGTACCAAAATATCTGACACTTGAATTGGATAATAAACTAAACTATTTATTCAAATATTCAAACAATAATCACAAATAGTCGTCATATTTACTAATAGGTGTCGCACTAATTCATACACATATAACGTTACATACTTTGTAAACGTTGGGATAAAATGATTGAACGCATGACTAACGAACGCTTCACAAGTTTCCTAATGAATAATACATTGAATGGTTATAACAAAAGGGGATTAACTGCTGTTTCATATCATATGATAACACTATCTATGAATTGACTGAACTATTAGTAATGCGATTCCAGTCTAATATAGAGTTCACTGGAAATCGATTGCAGTGTTTGTCAGTCATATTGTCAACCATTTTGTTAAACAATTAATACATTGTTTTGTATTAAACTCTGAAAAAACTTTGTGTCCGATAGTAGTGGACAACTGACCCGAACTAACCTTTTATTTAATTGGAAATAATGGATGAGAGTGTCCGCTGTGTACCGACGTCGACGCCTAATACAGGAGTGGTGACCACTACTGGTGGTACACCAAAGCGAGGCCTCGATGTGTGCGGCGCTTACGATCCACAAGTACTACATAACAATCTGGTCGTGAACTCAATATGTCCTCAAAATAATTATGGAACTGATGGACAAACTATGGATATGACTGCTTATGGCGTACAACCGCATTACGGACCGAAAAATGTGTCCTATAAGGCCATCGATGTACGTCTTCGGTCTTTCAATGCCAACAATTGCTGGGACCCTATGGTACCCGTCTGTCCCGAAGATTTGGCCAGAGCTGGCTTCTACTCAATTGGTATATATTTGTTACGTCTTTTTTCTTGTAGATTACAAAACAGTTTGTCCTATATTTTTGTAATGATTAGACTTTGTTAACGATAATTAAGTCGATTATCTGATGAATTAATTATTAATTAAATTAATTTTGTTATTAAAATGATAGGAATGAGTGATTAYGTGAAATGTTTTTACTGTGACGGAGGTCTATGTAATTGGGAACCGGGAGATGATCCGTGGGTAGAACACGCCAAGTGGTTTCCAAATTGTCAATTCGTCAAACTTAATAAAAGTCAAGTATTTGTCGACGAGTGTCGCCGAATGGCCGAACGGGAACACCAGAGACAGTCTAATGGTAGTACTGGTGGCGATTCAGACTCTGAATATAACTCTAGTGGTGACGATTACGAAGACAATGAAAGACTATTAGCCATTAATGCTGTCAACGAATGGATGCACAGCGATATTGTGCTTCAACTTATCGATTTGGATGCCTTTCCTATGGATGTCATCAAAGGTGTATTAAACAAGAGATGGTATGATGAGAGACAGCCTTTCTCATCGTTTGCCCAGATTTACGATGCAGTCTCCGAGTGGCGCAGACAACCATTGATTCAAACGTATGCTACAAATCGATGGCATATTTTATATCAGTTTTTAATTAATAATTTATTTTTTAGTACACATTTTGTTGAACCCGTAAGCATTGAAAACACTGGTGACGAACCAAACACATCCAGTGATGATGAGTTAAACTACTCATTGCCGAGTTCTCAGTCATCAGTTTCATCGACTACTTCTACGCTATCATCATATTCATCATCACCTGAGGCGTCACAGGAATTGTCGCCAACAACAAGTGCTATTGACGACAATCGTCTGTTATGTAAAATATGTTTAGACCGTGAGATCGGTGTAGTATTTTTGCCGTGTGGTCACCAATTGGCATGTACTCTATGTGCTCCGTGTGTTACCGATTGTCCAATATGTCGGTGTGTTATCAAAGGAAGTGTTAGAACTTTCTTTTCCTAAATGTATTTTCAAAATTGTTTTCAAATATTCAAAATTACTAAATTTTTTAATTGACACATTTGTAAATTAATTAAATATGCAAAATTTGCTACAAATAATAATAATCTTTCATTTAGTTATTACATCTAAAAGTCTACTTTAATATATCTACCGGTAATATTCTCATGTGATATACTGAATGAGAATTATTAAGCTTTTATTAAAAACTTGATTAAATTTATCACTAATTTTCAGGTAAAGCGGTAAATGTTTTTCAATAAAAACTAGGATATAATAGAATAATAAATTGTATTTTTTACTTATTAAAAATATTGTATAATCAGATGATTTTCTTAATTTCAAATATCGTAATAATGTATAATAAATTATAAAATGTATATATTATGAATATATATTGAATTATGTTAATAAAGATATATATATTTATCGATTTTCCGGTTTAAATATTTTTTAGTATAAATGAGTGGGTGTTATGTTTTAGTCGTAAATTTTGATTACTAGTATCGTAAGCAATGAACAAATTCAAGATAAATTGGCATAATTTCAACATGGTTATTTAGTCAAATAATACTTTACATTATTTAAATAACTAATTTGTTTACTATAACTTTAATATTTAATAATATTTGTACCTCATTTTATTTATATATAAATAATATTTTTTGTTATAATTATCATAATTTATATAAATTTTTATTTTTTATTTTWATAATTAACTGATACCATAAAAGGTGTTAACCCGTAATTGAGATACAATTTTAAACTATAACGTGATGTGTGTATTGCACTGTATGTATGACAACAACACATTCAATAGAGTTTGACATTTGTTTTATAGCTGTTTTGCACTGATTTTACATTATATAACTATAACTCAATAGATATTAGTGTACAGTATATTGTCTATGATTTTTCAATACATTTATATGAATAAAAAAATTTATATATATTTTTATTTTGTTTATACTATATATTGATATTATATATATATATATATATATATATATAGTATTTATACTCATATATAGTCTTCTCATATCAGATATCTTTACGATGTGTTCAATCAAATCAACCATTTTTTCGTATTCAATGACTTTTAAATTATAAAAAAGGGTTTCAATAGTTATGTCATTTGATTTGAAAGAAAAAAAACAAAACAATTGAAATCGACTGTAGTTTTAAAACATATTAATTAATTATCAGTCAATTTAGTGATCAAAACAAATGTTAACAAAAGTGTCATTTAATAATAATATTAATTATTATTGTATTTGTATGTTATGTTTATGTAAATCAATTGATATTCATTGATATTCATTGATTCATATCTTGATATATCATATGTGATGATAATAACAGACCTTTTTTCTTGACTGACCATTGAGTCCATCGACAAACAAACACTTACATTGATTATCGGCGGACAAACAACACTCTTGACCGACGTTTTGTTTGATTCACCCGATAGTGGGACAAACGGTTCCTCCCGTTAAATATATATATCGTTAGTTTTACTGTTTTGTTTGTCGATCGGTGACAATGCCTTTGGCCAATCTGGTGGTGCCGTGGAGTCAGACCAACAATGAGGTCAGTAATAGTGATCATCAAAAATCAGTAATTGATTAATCATCGACTAATTTATCCATTAAATTATCCATTTAACCAACCAATCAGGTCATCACATCGACTCCCAGTCCCGAAGAACTTCCCGTGCAGTCGTCGCCGGCACCCGAAGGCCAGCAAACGATTGAAGACGAAAATGTAATCATTTATTTGTTTTGATTATATAATATATAATAATAACATTTTAATTGGGAGACAAACCTTTGTTTTAATTTATTCATTGATTAAATAATTGATTATTCATTACCGGCAATAAAACTTAATAATTATTTTGTGATTTTTTTTATTCACACAATTGAACTGAAAATGTTACGAATCTAGTGATTACATATAGTTTAAGTTAACACTAGAAAAAATTGATTAATATTTGATTTTTAATTATTAAAAAAATTATTATAAAAGGGAATGATTTGCTATTGAAGATATGGTGTCACCTGTTTATAGATTAAATAAAATAAAGAGTGGTTTAGATTAAATAACACATTGATTATCGTAACTAATAATGTTTAATATAATGTATAATATATTGAAATGTTTAATCAATGTCACTAATGAATTAAATGCATTATTACTTTATTATTACATTTCAATGTTATGTTTACAATATATATATATATATTGTATTTATTATTATTATTTCATACTATGCTATACATGAATAGTTGACATCATTTTCTCGGAAATTTTTCATTACTTTTTAAACGAAATGTGATTAAAAATCACTAAGAAATGTATAGTTGAGAAAAACGGTATAAATTATAGACATTGACATATATATATATATATATACAGTAAAGTTAAAGTAGTTTTACATTAGTTTATAGAAGAAAACCCATTTTCTTTAAAACAGTAATCCTATTATAGGATTTCTATTATTATTATTATTATTAAAAAGTCATGAATATACAGATCTAATCTTATTAATAAATAAATAAATATGTAAAACATTTAGTAGTATATGTTTAATATATGAAACAACTTTGAAGTATTAAATTTGAACATTTCTGCCGGTATACTTAATTTTTTTTTGGTGAAAATTTTTAATATTTTTTTTTGTTAGTCGTTTTTATACACGTTTTTAATGAATATAAAATATTTTAAGTCATTTGAAATCTGTTTAATAATATATTGATATATAATTAATAATGAAGTCGACAATGGATATTGAGACCAGTCGTGACAATTCAGTTCAAGAGATAGAGGTAACAAATGTGACCAAAGAGGGTCATCCTAACGGTGATCCCGGCCACTTCTCGCTGCTCCGAGTGCTCGGCGAGGGATCGTTCGGCAAAGTGTTTCTGGTCAAGAAGATTGTCGGACCCGATGAGGGAAATCTGTACGCAATGAAAGTGCTCCGAAAGGCCACACTTAAAGGTAAATTTTTTAGTTTGTTTTGTATTTAAAATTAATTGTATGCCTATATATAAGTCAATAAGAATAACCAAAAAAAACTTTAAATTAAAGCAAAAAATTTAAATTTAATAAATAGTTTTTAAAGATTTTTATTATACATATTTGAACACATTTTTGATTATATCATTAGTCTATTTTTATGTTAAACACATAATCTTATAATATAAACAACATATCATAAGTTATAAAATAGTTTTTACGTGACTCTTGTTTTATGTGAAATTTTTTGAATTCTTTTTTCTATGTTATTTCAAATACTGTAATATCAATCAAAAAAAAACTATTTAAAAAATTTATTTATAATAATTTATCTTAAAGTGTAAATATACAGTATATATAAATTTAATATATGTTTATATATATTTATAAATAGTGAGAGACCGGGTCCGCAGCAAAATGGAAAGGGATATATTGGCGGAAGTGAGACATCCATTCATTGTTAAACTAAATTATGGTAATTATTAAATTGTTAATTGATTTTTCTATTGTTAGTAATTATATTTTACTAATTTTTGCTATAATTTCTCTCCTAAACCGATAGCATTTCAAACGGAAGGAAAGCTATATCTAGTACTCGACTTTCTCAGAGGTGGAGATCTGTTCACTCGTCTCAACAAAGAAGTAATAAATGTTTTTTATTAAATATATTATATATAAATGTTTATAGTTAGCAATGAAATCATTTTTTTAATAATTATATTTGTCTTAAACTTGTTTTCTTAGGTAATGTTTACAGAAGAAGACGTCAAGTTTTATTTGGCAGAATTAGCGCTAGCATTGGATCACTTGCACTCATTGGGTATAATATATAGGGACCTAAAACCAGAAAAGTATTTATTATTATAATTTTGCGACTAAATGTGTTATTAAATTTAAAAATATATTTTTAATCAGCATTTTATTGGACTCTACCGGACACATTAGTCTTACTGACTTTGGTCTCAGCAAAGAGTCTCTAAACAATGAAAAGTCGTTTTCTTTTTGCGGAACCGTTGAATATATGGCACCCGAAATCATTAGCCGAAAAGGTCACACGACTGCCGTGGACTGGTGGTCTTTCGGGGTACTCATGTTTGAAATGTTGACCGGAGTACTACCGTTTCAGGGGGCCAACAGAAAAGATACAATGCAGCAAATAATGAAGTATTTAATTTTTATAATTGATTTTCTCAATTGATTTATTAAAATCCTGTTTATTACGATTTAGAGCCAAGCTATGTATGCCTCAGTATCTAAGTCCAGAAGCTCAGAGTCTGCTTAGATGTTTATTTAAACGAAATCCGGCTAATCGTTTGGGTTCGGGACCTGAATGTGGGCGTGAAGTGAAAAATCATCAATTTTTTTCAACCATTGATTTCGAAAAGCTTTACAATAAAGAGATTACACCACCATTTATACCATCCATTAGTCGTACTGAAAATTTATTATACTTTGATAAAGAGTTTACCAATAAAGCACCCGAAGGTATGCTTCTAATTGTAGATAAATGGCAAWAAAATAAAATTGATTTTGTTTTACTATAGACTCACCGGGTGTACCTCCCAGTGCTAATGCACACGAATTGTTTCGGGGATTCAGTTTTGTTGCACCCAATCTATTGGATGAAGCAATTGTGCCAAATATTGAAAACAACACAAATGTTACCAACAGTTTTGAGTCACCCATTAGGTCACAGTCTATGTCGAGAATTCTTTTGAGAACTATTACTAAATGTAAGGAAAGATCACTTAATGACTACGAATTTTTTGAAGAGTTAGGCAAAGGATCGTATTCTTGTTGTCGAAGATGTGTTCATAAAGAAAGTGGTAAACAATATGCTGTCAAAGTATGCCATTAATTAATGATAATTTATATGATATTTKATTGAAATAATAATTGATTGATTAATTAATTAGATTATCGACAAATCAAAGCGTGATTGTTCTGAAGAGGTGGCAATACTATTGAGATATAGTCAACATTCAAATGTTGTYACTCTTTACGACGTCTACGAAGACACTTCTAATGTTTATTTGTTTATGGATTTGCTTACCGGCGGCGAACTATTGGATAAAATAATAAATCAAAAATTTTGTACCGAAAGAGAAGCCAGTGCTGTACTCGAAGTTATTGCCAATACTATAAAATTTTTGCACGAAAACGGGGTAATTATTATTTATTTATAATCTAATAATATATTAGTTATAATTTATTATATAATGATTTAATTACTCGTAATTAACAGGTAGTGCATAGAGACCTAAAGCCTTCTAACATAGTATACGCCGATACCACTGGAAACCCTTCATCGTTACGTATTTGTGATTTTGGATTTGCCAAACAAATGCGCGCCGATAACGGCTTATTGATGACCCCCTGCTATACCGCCAACTTTGCCGCACCAGAAGTACTTAAGAAACAGGGCTACGATGAGGCCTGCGATATCTGGTCAATGGGTGTTCTGCTTTACACTATGTTAGCCGGGTATGTGATTGTGATATTAGTATTGATTACCATTTTGTTATTATTTTTAATTTTAATTATAGTGGAACTCCATTTGCCAACGCACCGACCGATACACCGACTGATATTTTGCGCCGTATTGGTGAAGGAAAGTTTGATCTGACGTCTGGTAATTGGGTTAATGTTTCACTTTCAGCAAAGGTATGAATAGAAATCATACAAAAAAAAACTTATTTATTTATGAGATAATTACCATAATATTCACGTATTATTCTATACTTTAATATAGAATTTAGTGGAACGTATGCTTCATATTGATCCCAAACAGCGCTACAGAGCCGCTGATGTATTGAATCACGAATGGATTCGTTGTCGAAACAAATTGCCGGAAACCAATCTAACACATCAAGAAGTGAGTCTTATTAAAGCCAATATGGGTCTGGTATTTGAGGCCATCCATAAGCCCGCATCCATCAGCTTAGATCCAGTGACAACTTCTGATTTAGCCCGACGACGGGCTAATCGTGCATCTCGTTCACCAAATAGCCAATCGTCAGATAATTAATAGTTAAATCTATAAATTTAGTTAATTTTAATYAATTTTTATCCAATTTGTAATTATTAATATAAGTTTGTTGTCATTCCTTATTTAAAAAATATGATTCTTATCTTTTTTTTATTTGTTAACCAAATAATTGTTTTTAATTTAACAAATATTTTATTTTAAAGTATTTATATATATATATATATATATATATTAGATTAATATTGAGAAACTATTTAATGCACAAAACTATTTCAACCAAAAAGTGGTTGAGTTTTGTCCGAATTGTTTAACACAAAACCAATGATCTCTATATTTGATGGCTTTATCTCTAGATTGGTATACCATTGAATATTTTTTAAATGAAACAAATTGTCATTTTTGCCATTTTATTCAAACATTTTAATAATATTTTAGATTATAATGTAAATACATTTTAATTGATATATTTAATGTTTTTTGGAACAAAGTTCTTAATCATAATTAAATCATCTTTAATATACAGTTTACTAACAGTTTAATATACTGTTTTATTATATACAGTATATACTGTATACATATACATTGTAATGAGTTAGAAATTATTTTGAAAACAAAATCGTGGTTAAAAGTTATTTAATAATGAAATTTTAATTAAAATATTTTAAATAACAGTAGTAGTAATAATAATAATATAAAACTTGATGATTTATTTTATCTTTTTAGTATAATTTTTACATTTTATCATTTTAATATCATTAATTATTATCAATATAGTAAGCTCTATTGTATATTTTATTAATAAAAATATTTTGAAACAACCATACATTTAATTTTTGAAAAAAAACAATACAATAATTGTAACGATTAACTTCTGTTATTTTTGTGCCTTAATTTTTGTTAATTACAATATAACCAACAAAAAAAACTAATCTGTTTTTAAAACAAAATTTTTTTATAACTTGTATATTATTATTATTATATTAATAATATAAATAATATTATGTCATTTAATTAATTAATTAACTATTATAAAAGTACAACACATGAAAACAACCCAATTTACAAATACATATATAAGTTGTGTTGATTTCTAATTTATCCTAGCTTATTTACTGTTATAGACTATATATAAATATTATAAATTTATATAAAATATTTTACATTTAAACCCTAATTGTGTCAAAAAATAACTATACATTCCTTTTAATTATTACTAACTTTAATTATAGATGTTTATTATAATTATTATCATTAATATAAATTATAATTATATCAATTTTTATATTGAAAACTATTTATGTGATTAAATAAACTTTGAAAACTAGAAAATTTTGTTTTATTTTTTAATTTTATATAATTTAATGAAATAATGGATTTTTTTATTATTTATTTTAGTAGTTAATAGATCTAGTTTATTGTGATAAGTTAATTGTAAATTATAATCTGAATTTCTATATATTTAAATATTTTAAAGTATAATACAGTATATGTTTTGTTATGAAATCATAAGTTTTTTAAATGATTTTTACATGAGTTAACAGTGACATCAAAGTTGACGACAAATGAAAAAATTTAATTAAATTTAATAAACCGTTTGGTTAACTGAATAGATTGTCAGTAATATGAGTAAGTCTTATGAAAAAAACATATTTGATATTAAAAATTAAATAATTAATTAATTAATTATATATTTAGTCGCCATTATTCATAACTCGTGAACAGGTCTTTAGTAAACCTAATCAAACAAACAAATGATGAATCGTTATATTGTTTTCGTTGCTTTTATTGCCGTCGTATTTGTGGCGACTGTCGTCYCAAAAGTCGACKGCAAAGTAGATGACAAGTCGGCCAAAAAAGACGACTTATTGGACAATGAAATCGACGATTTGCCGATTAGTGAACACAAACACACAAAGCTCTCCAACAAACAAAAACCTATTGCAATGATCGTGAAGACCATCAAGAAGTGGATTAAAGCCATACCCGAGACTATTGTCACACTGTTTGTCAATTTATTGTCGCCGTTCGTCGAYAAGACTTTGATCCGCGAAAAGGTCGAGCATTTTATCAATAGTATGTTAGGATTGGTGGCAAATGAACTGCCGAAACCTTACAGAAATATTTTTACACAATTCACACAATTTTTGGATATGTTTGAAATGCTTGGTTAACATTATTTTTAATATATTAAATTATTTTGATTACAACTTTAATTTATTTATCACAATTATTATTGTTTGATTAAAACTTTGTTTTTAATAACTCATTCACATTTATAAAATTTATAATTAATTAAATATAATTTATATATATTACATGATGTTTACAGTTATAACAATGTATTACAATGTATTTTAAGTGTCGGTAATGTTTTTACGGGTAATAAACCCATGTATTGAATGAATGCGGTTCAACAGGCATACGGAGTTCACCGAACAGCGGGTCGGTTAGTATAAAGGCGTTTTGGTCGTTCCAACTGTTGATTACAATGTATACATATCCGCCATCCGGTCGGATAAATGCGGCCGACTGTAGATTCTCGTTGTCGACCACTTCGGGACTCTGACCGATACGTTTGCTTCCCGGCGGCAAAAACTTGGCGAAGTGGGCCAACGCGTAAAACATGGGATTCTTGAAGTACTCGCCTTTAGATGGATCTACAATAATGGGTGCCGACTCAAAATGACCCTTTCCTACCCATATGGGTCCGCCATCCATATCGAGTACAGCATTCCAGTCATTCCAACCCGAGACCCAATGAGACAAATCTTATTAAATATAAAATTAAATAACAATAAAAAATTAGCGATAATTTGATATTTTAGAAAAATCTTAGCAATACCTCTGATGATATCGTGTGCATAACTTTCCCCAAAATCCCAGTTTCCCAAAGAAATGGGCCAACTCTGGTCTTGCCATCCATTGCATGCTTCAGTAGCCAAACTGTATAATTATAAAATTGATAAAATAATTTTTAAATTAAAAAAATMTAATTACAAAACTYACATAAAATGATTTGGATGTCGTTCGTGCACCTGATCRTATCGTTCAGGACCGGCAGCTCCGTTGCCATACCAATGCACTGCAACACCCTTAGCGTATTTGGCAGCACCGGCATCACCAAGCACAGTGTCAGCCCAATTAGGCAATAGATCTCTATTGTGGTCCAAAACCATTAAATTGAATTGATTAGGTCCCCAACCGTTACGTTCCAGTGCTGGACCCAAATCAGTCTTCACGAAATCTCTTTCCATTTCAGGTGTGTATCCCATTGTATTCCACGGAAAGTTGTCCTAATATAGTCATCAAATGAAATATTATTAATTTGTCTTTTAATAATTCAATTTCAGACCTGTAGACCAGTTGCCGGTTCATTCTGGACAGTCATACCCCAGAACTCGATGCCATGAGTGCGATATGCCTGAAGCCATCTWATGATTAGATCATAACATATGATTTATTACTGCACTTATTTCAATCAGCTATGACTATATACTTAATTAAATAGTTGGCGTATGTTTCCCAAGGCTTAGAKCCGGCCTTTTCTAGTAGTGTACCCTTTCCTGTGAGCTGATGATTGGTCTTAAGCCATGCCGGCCCACTCCATGGCGATCCGAAATATTTAATCTTATGTTTTGAAACTTCGTTTGCGATCTTCATTTGTGGTATCTATTAGGTGCACAAAATTATTGTGAAAATTTGAAACAATTAGTATTATATTTTTAAAAACGAACCCTATATTTGGTGTCCTCATCAACCAAATTGAATTGTTTGAGATCCCAATCCCAGTCGTGATCATCGTATGTGTACTTTCTGGTGGAGAAATCACTTCCAGCTATTGTTGTTCGAGCCATTGACARCTCGATTCCCTTTTCCGAGAAAAAATCGGATAATATTTGTCGCTGAAGTTTGGGTGACATCTTTCCAATGCTAAGTACGGCCGCATCTGACAGAGCGGTACCGAAACCAATAATTTCTTGATGTGTTTTGCTGTGATCTACTTTGATGTTCCACCGATAACCCGATGGTATGTCTCCCTCATTGAACCGTTTCTCTGACTTTTCCAATCGTTTACCCGATTTTGTCGATGTAAACACCTGTACGACACCTTTGGAACTGTGGACCACCGGATCGTATTCGTCGTTCATCTGTTCATTGGCCACACAAGCGATACTTCCTCTCTGGAAGTCTCGTCCGTTGCATTTCTTGGACCCTAATTGTCATTATATTAAATTTGATTTAAAAAAACATGTAATTACAGCAAATTTAAATCAATTAAAAGTCTCTCTTCTACTGTAAATGTGATCTTATTTTAAAGTTTTTAAAGTTTATTGTCGGAGACAATCGTTTTGCTATTAAACGACAAATTTTTTTAATACGAGACATTCAATTGATTTTTTACTATAATTGGTGAATAAATTTAAACAATTACCAAATGTAGTTCCAATTAATATACAAATAATTAAAATCAGTGTTAACTTCATTTTTTRCTAATTATCTCATTTTACCTGTCTTAAATATGTTATATAACTTATATAATATAAGATATTATCTGATATTTTAGTGTAAATTAAACTAAATAAAAAACTACTTTTTATATTTACTACTATTAAACCATTTATATTTATACTTCGAGGATATCATTAATAATGAAATTGTGATAAAATAATGACACTTATGATATTTAATCAATTATTTATGCTTTTTTACAAAAACATTTATTTGAAAGCACAAAAAAATATAATAAATTTGATTATTTTCCACTCAAAAACAAATGTATYTGTCTTAGAAAAATAAAATATCATTTATTATAAATGTTTAAACATTTTATCTATAATTTACAGTATATAAAATTTATATTATTAAATCCATAAACAGTTTTTAATTAATTAATATTTTTAAAACAAATATTTTATAGAAATAATTAATTGTGAATTGTTTTTTACTGAACAGATATACTGAATAGATATTGAAATTTTTTATAAATTATTATATCATAGTATTAAAAATTTAGGATCATATGTACCTAGAGATGGGTAAATAGAAAGTTTCTAATAAATTTCCGTGAGAAAGTTTCTAGAAACTTTCTCATGAATAAATTTCTATAGAAATTTAACTTTAATGTTATTCTATGGGATCCCCATATCTATAGTTATTGTAATACCAGTATTTTAATAACATATAATACTATACATATAATATAATACAGTATAGTACAGTACTATAGAAAATGGGATACCTATATATAAAATAATTATAATTATTTAATAATAATCAGTTTTGTAAAATTTTATTCATTTTATTATATAAATCATAGTTTAATTAATTAATTTTTTTATTTTAATTAATAATTAAAATAATAATAATATTTAATGTATTCTTATATGATAGCAAATATCGAGATAACAAAATTAACCATGGGGATCCCATAGATAGAAATTTCTTTTAGAAACTTTCTAGAAATTTCTCTATTATTTTATAAATTTCTCCTTTTTGCCAACACTATATGTACCGTTAAAAATATTTATATACAGTATTATCACTTTGTAAGTGCACTAAAATTAATTTTTTAATGTGCATATAATTTTCTAGGATATAATTGTTCCAGATAGATTAACTTGTTAAGCGTAAACAATGATAAATACTTTTTTAAATGGTATTTTATTTAATTAGATAATATAGTACATACTGTATTATACAGGCATTATAGTAATCATATTTATAAATTAAAAAAAAATATTTTATTATATAATTAACCTTTTAATAAATAATAAATAAATATAACTGTTTATTATGATTATTAGTATATTATATAAAATTATGTTAATTACTTAAACTTATCATAGAATTAACTTACAATATATTTAATAATCAGTTACAGTATTTGTGGCAAAGTTTTATTTTTCACAAAAAAAACTTTTTCTTTTTAAGTGTTAATCGATTAGATTACCGATAGTTTATATAATTATTATCTCACAAAAAATACAGTAACTTTAAATGCATTTGTTATATTATTATTTTTTCAAACAAAATAAATTTTTTAATTGAGTTTTGTGTTGTCTTTAGAGAACATTATATTATTATTATTTTTTAATTCACAATTAAATTGAAATATCTTATATCCAATACAGTTAAGCGTAATAAACCCATGTATTGAATGAATGCGGTTCAATAGGCATATTGAGTTGACCCAACTTGGGATCAGTTATTACAAACCCGTTTTGAATGTCCCAATAATTGATCACAATGTACACGTATCCGCCGTCTGGTCGGACAAATGCAGCCGAAAGTATACCTTTTTCATCGACCACTTCGGGTGTCTGACCAATACGTTTGCTTCCCGGCGGCAAAAACTTAGAGAAGTGGGCAAATGCATAAAACATAGGATTCTTGTAATATTCGYYTTTGRATGGGTTGACAATAATAGRCGCCGACTCGTAATGGTCGGGACCGACCCAATTGGGTTTGCCATCCATATCCAGTACGGCGTTCCAGTCATTCCAACCCGAAACCCAATGCGASAGATCTTTTATATTAAATGKTATTAACAATAAAACCACAAATTGTTTGCATTTTTCATTAATACCTCTGAGTATATCTCTGGCATAACTCTCCCCAAAACTCCAGTTCCCCAATGAAATTCGTGACTCTTTGTCTTGCCATCCATTGCACGCCTCAGTCGCTAAACTTTTTAATAATTTATAAAAAATTATTGATAATTTGAAAAATTAATTTACTTAATTTATTAAAAAAAAACTTACATAAAATGATTTGGAAATTTTTTATGTAACTGATCGTATTTTTCGGGACCGGCAACACCGTTGCCATACCAGTGCGTAGCCACACCATTAGCGTATTTGGCAGCACCGGCATCCCCTAGAATCACGTCAGTCCATTCAGGTATCATATCTCTATTGTGGTCTAATATCATTAAATTGAATTTATTAGGTCCCCAACCATTACGTTCAAGTGCTGGACCCAAATCAGTCTTCACGAAATCCCTTTCCATTTCAGGTGTGAATCCCATTGTATTCCACGGAAAGTTTTTCTAWTATAGASATCAAATGAAATGTTAATTTGACTTATAATTAACTCAATTGCAAACCTGTAGACCAGTTGTCGGTTCATTTTGGACAGTCATACCCCAGAATTCAATGCCTTGAGAACGATATGACTTAAGCCATCTATAGATAAATATAAATTAATTGAATGTTACTTTAAATTATTTTATTTTGTCATAACATACCTAATCAAATAATTAGAATATGTCTYCCACTCCTTAGATCCGGCTTTCCCTATGAGTGTACCATTTCCTATGATCTGATGGTTAGTTTTAAGCCATGCCGGGCCACTCCACGGCGATCCAAAATATTTCGGTTTATGTCTGGCCACTTGATTGATAATCTTCATTTGCGGGATCTATTAATGWCAAAAAATAACAAATACTATGATTCAATATACAATTACAGTTTATAATAATATTATTAACCAAACCCTATATTTAATGTCCTCATCGGCTAAATGAAAATGTTTGAGATCCCAGTCATTGGTATTGTTATCGGTGTCATCGTATGTATACTTTCTGATGGAGAAATCACTTCCAGCTATTGTTGTTCGAGCCATTGACAACTCGATTCCCTTTTCCGAAAAAAAATCGGACAATATTTGTCTCTGAAGTTTGGGTGACATCTTTCCGATATCAAGTACGGCCGCATCGGACAGAGCCGTACCGAAACCAATAATTTCTTGATATGTTTTGTTGCCATCTATTTTAATTGTCCATTGAGTTCCCGATAGGACAGCGCTCTCATTGAATCGCTTTTCGGTTTTCTCCAGACGTTTGCCTGACTTTGTCGATGTGAATACCTGTACGACACCTCTTGGACTGCGGCCAACCCGATSGTACACATCGTTGACCTGTTCATTGGCCACACATGTAATACCCCTAACCGGTACGTCAATRGAGTTAGCATTAAGAACAGTGCATTTGTTGGATCCTTTAGGTRGACATCATTTACAAAGGTATACATATAATAATTGGTTTATTTAAAAAAATGCAAACTATTACCAAATGYAGTACCAATTGATAGCAAAACAWTTAAAATCAATRRAAATKTCATCATTTTTTTATTGKCTATCTATAAGTAAATTAAGTTTGTTTAGTAAAATTTCCATTTAKATTAATATTYTTAAATTGGCATTTTTAATTAATTACAATAGTAAAGTATCWGRMATATAAATTATATTTATGACATATTTAACAGTAAATTAGAAATATTCAGAAAATTTGGAAGTTATTTTCCAAAATACTGTAGTTTTTTTGCAAATGTTTCAATTATTTGAATAATACTTGAAATCATATTTATAATAATTTGCTTTTAAAAAATAATTAAAAATGTTTATAAAGTATAATTCAAGTTCAATGAACTTATTATTAGTGTTTCCACTTAATAAGTTTATWAGCTTGATTATTACCTKTTAATATAATATATTTACTAATATACTGTAATATGTTATATAATATATATTTATATATCTATACAGAATAAATACTCTATAAATTTTATTGAATAACTTAATTATTGATAATATTTGTTGTTGTTATATCTTACCATTAYATGAATATATTAATTTAATTTTTAAARTATTTGTCAATAAAATTATTATTATTTAATTTTGAGATTAAWTACTTGATGATRGCAACACTACTWTGATTTATTTGCAGACTTTTGTTGATTTTAAAAACATTTGCAATTGAGAGTAAAACTATTGATAGTTTTGTTTCTGAACCAACAATTATTATATAAGTTGATTTAGGTTTAATTATTATATATATATATATATATATATATATATATATATATATATWTTACACCTAATGAACTATTTATAAATTAAAAACTATGCCTAACTTTTATCTAAATTATAAATTAATAAAATTAGGATATAATTAGGAAAATAATTTTTACTAATTTGATGAACAAAAATGATTGAGTAAATGATAATAAAAACTGATGAATAAAAAAAATAAATTACTAGTAGATCATAATTTAATGTATAACTTATACTACTAACTTATGTATAACTATAACTAACTAAAACTATAAGTACTATTACTAATGTACCGGTAATACAATTTTATATATGAATAACATGTACGGGTAATTCTACACGTGTTTATAACCAATAAGTTTCTATTTATTATATTAATAATATTTTATTAATAATAGAAACTTATTGGCTATAACCCAATACACTAACCCATACATTAATTGTTAATTATGATATACCGGTAGATATTAGTCATTATCTAATAATTGGTAAAAATATTAGGAAAACAATACAAAAATATAAAATATTTTTATTTATAAAATAGTTGAAAACACCATAATATAAAATAGAAATTATTTTATTTGTAAATATAAAAAATAAAATAATAATTATAAAAAAATATTAGTGATATATAATACTGTATCTGCGGCGGGGAGTTATTGTAAAATTAATAGACAAGATTATTAAAAAGTAATATACATAATATATGATTTTTTCATACTAGCTAATTTTTCATAAAAACATAAAAATATATTGATTACAAATTTTCTAACTTGTTTTACATAATGTTTTACATTTAACTTATAATTAAATAACCATAACATTAAGTCTTAAAATACAAAAAATTAAATTTAATTAATTTAATATATATTTAAGTTTATATTACTTAAGWCTTATCTATGTACATATATGACATAAGCAATGGTAAGTTTACATGTTTGTAATTTAATATCTTAAAATTTATTTTTTTTAAATTAAATTATGCATAAATATAAATATAATTTTTTGAAACTTTTACTGAATAATTTAAAATTATAAAAACTATAATAAATTGACTTTCTTGATATCATATTGTAATTATATTATTGTTAATTATAAAAAATATTTTTTTTAATTTTTTAAAATATATAATAAATTTTAATAAAAAGAAAAAATGTAAAATTTATGATATTTTGATATTATTAAAAAAAGTGTCTAGGTATTTTATAAAATTAATCTATTATTATTTGTTATTTTACAAGGAATAATTATTCTATTTACAATTTTTAATTATCATGCTTAGTTTTTGAGATATTAAATAAAAACATTTTTACCATTATATAAATTTAGTAACAAATATAATTAATAAAATTTTATAAGAAAATATTATATAATAGTAAAAATGTTTTTCTTTAATATCTCAAAAACTAAGCATGATAATTAAAAATTGTAAATAGAATAATTATTCCTTGTAAAATAACAAATAATAATAGATTAATTTCATAACAAAATACCTAGACACTTTTTTCCTAGATAATATCAAAATATCATAAATTTTACATTTTTTTGCTTTTTGTTTAAAATTTATTAATTTTTTAAAAAATTACCGAAACACGTGTCTAATGAATTTTCACCTAGTTTAAATTCACATTATCAGAATTTAGCTATTTATTATAGTTTTAGAAATTAAAATTAGCTACATAAGCTGAAATCTATAAAAACTAACTATACTAAGTTATACGTCCCAGGATTCCATGTTTCTCATAAAATTTTTATTGATCTAGATCAATTAGTTATAGAGATATTAAGCAAAAACCAGTTCGCACCCTTCTGTCACAGACTTTATATGACATAAGCAATGGTAAGTTTACATGTTTGTAATTTAATATCTTAAAATTTATTTTTTTTAATTAAATTATGCATAAATATAAATATAATTTTTTGAAACTTTTACTGAATAATTTAAAATTATAAAACACCTGTTTAATTAAATTGACTTTCTTGATATCATATTGTAATTATATTATTGTTAATTATAAAAAAATATTTTTTTTAATTCTTATAGTATCATAATATATAGTGATGTACCGATTGTAAAATGCGCAATTGCATTGCTTATAAATTAAAATTAATAAAAAGCTCGATTGCGAAAATCGCAATTGTAACATAAAAAAATTTATAATTTTTAAAAAATTTAAATGGCAAAGCAATATGAATAAAAACAAATTAATTATATAAAATTTAATTATTTTATCATAATATGTTGACATCTAAAAACCATGTAAAAATAATAATAAATTAGTAAATTCTCTTAATCTATTGTAAACAAAATTTATAACATTGTCAAAATTAATTTTTATACATTCCCTCATGCGCGCAATTTCAAGCAATTTCACGCAATTTTCCGCAATTGCGGCAATCGAAAATTGAATTGCGAAAAATTACCAACACTAATAATATATAATAAACTATAATAAGAAAAGGTTAAAGATTTTAAAACTATTATTAAAAATATATGAATAACACTATAAAAACATACAAATATAGAGTAATATAAAAACTAGATAATACACAATCGTTGCTGATATAGAAATATTAAAATTACATTAACTATAATCTATGATTAATTAATTTTTATATTACAATATACTGTATTTATATATAAATTATTAGTATTTTCTTATAGTATTGTTTTTTTATAATATTACTTATTATTATAATCTTTATAAAGAATGTTAAAAAAATAATATTTGTTATTGAAATGAGTGATAAGCAGGGGTTTATAGTAATTATATGTCTTCCCTGGCAATGCCCAAATAGATATCATAAATGCCTGGTTTATATTGATTAATAATTTAAAATTAAAATTACATTTCATTTTGATTTATTATAACTATAGTTCGGGTAACTTCCCAAAGGAGGGAAGTTCCTTAATAAAATCCCTCTAATTTTTCAAAAAATAGAGAAAATAAAATATTTTCCCTCGCTAGCMGATTAGAAAAAATATTTTATATTTCTACATTAAATAAATCTAAAATTTAATTTTTTTGTATAAAATTTCATTGAAATTTAAAAATTAATTTTAGTAATTCTTTCTAACAGTTTAATACAAGATTTGTTATTAAAATCTTATAATATAATTTGTTGTCTTTGGTTAAATAGATTTTTGCATTAAAACTATAAGACTGTATATTTATTCAAATTGTTTTTTTTATAAATTAAAAGTTAATAATATTAATCAATAAAATATCCTATATCAATATATAAAAGTGAAACTAATTTCCAAAAAATATATATATACAGAAAATCATAAACAAAATAATTGGTACTTTAATTTTTAAAAAATTGTGTTATATATTTATCTTTGAATTACAAATATTTTTTTAAAAACACATTAATATTTGATAACACCTTAAAAATTGTACTTAAAATAATTTATTTTATAATTTATAATTATACTATATTCGAAATAATTTAACACTTGTTTAAACGTATAAAAAATATATTAATTAATTAAATAAAATAATAAATTAGATTTTTTTATTTCAAATTTATTATAAGTGATAGTTTTAAGGTATTTTTATGTAGTCAATAATTTTAATAAATATTGTATTTAAAACAGTATAAATTTTTTAGCAAATAATTTAGATTTAAAAATAATTTTAAAAAAAGAATAATATATTGTATAAGTAAAAAATAGTAAAAATCAATTTAATCATAAAAATCTATTTTAAAAATCTATTTAATAATTTTTGGCACAGATTTATATCAATGTTTGTTGTTTTGTATATTTAATTATATATTTAACAATTGATATAAATCTATGTAAAATATAAAATCAAATATTTTATATTATATTTAGAAAAAATTATTAATTTCAAAAATCATTTAATAACATTTAACAAAATAAATTTTATATTTTATTTTATATCCTAAATGATATAAAAAGATAATGAATTTAAAAGATGAAATGTTTTATTTAGTGTTAATTTCAAATTATTTGAAAATTGTGTTTTAATTGAATCAATATTAAACACAAATAACTTTAATCTGTTTACTGATTGTGGTTTTAATTATGTTTGTTATGAATATTTTATTAAATGTTTTCAATGMAATGATGGGCTTTGCAGTTGTGAAACATGTRATGAAYAATGGATTGAACATAMAAAATATTACCCGAYATTAAAGTAAATTTTATGTTTAAATTACTCAAATTATATTTATTAAATTTTATAGTCAATAATAATTTCTAGTATTTGTATTAAGTATTTGAAATATTTTGAATTATTTTTGTTAGATGATTTATTGTCTAGAAAATATAAAATTTAAATTTTWAAAAATATCTATACAATTTTTATTCTATTTATTTTTGAAATTTACAAATTTTCATGTTTTTATTAATTTTACAAGTCAATTTACAGGTAATTTTTTGACATAATCCTGAAACACGTATCTAATTATTTTTATCTAGTTTATTTTAGCATTATTAGAATTTAAAATTTATTAGTTTTTTTTAAATATTGGWCGTCCCTGAGCCATGGTTACATCAATTGATATAATCAACAAATATAATTATTTTAATATTTCAATTTTATATAAATTAATTATTTAACTTACAATAAATAATTTTTTATAAGATTTATAAAATTTTTATTGTTTATAACTAATTATTGATTATGTTTACATTAAATGACTGGRTAATATTAGCTATCAAATTGAAAAAAATGACCAAGTTATCTCTTTTTCCACGTATATTTACGTCGGGCGCCCTCTTGACCCCATTTTTTGCGTTCACGAGTCCGCACGTCTCGAGTCAATAGACCGGCTAAACATTAAATTGAACCRTAATTTTAAAAAAYAYTTTTTTTTTAAAAAAAATAAACAACAAATGCAAACCTAATCTCATCTTCTCGACTGTCTTTGAGTCGACAAAACTTCTTAAAGCGAGAGCTAATCCCAACCGAATGGCACCGGACTGTGCAGTTGTTCCCAATTCCCTCCAAACGCCATCCGAATGCCTGCCCACAGGCGGTGAGTCTTTGCTCCACTCTTTAGTCATTTCCTCGTACATCGTTCGACATTCGATGTCAACTTTGAAGAGTTGGCCAGTTATCTGGAGGGGTGTCATCACCTGTTCTCTAAAGTTATTAATAGAGACTATTACTGTTTATCTAAAAATAACAGTTACCGATACTACCGGTAATATAAACATACCTGTCATTAATRAAATCAAAATATGTTATATCCTGACCATTGATATCGACTTTTCCGGTACCGTTGCCTCTAACCGTCACATTTGCCACACAATATTTTCGGTTACCTTTCAAAATAAATATTTACATCATATTATACTAATTAATAAAATAGACGATAAAATAGGTACTTAATATAAGTTTATCACAATATACCTGTGGCTGTCATAAAAGGTCTACCATTTTCATCGTACATGAGTTCAGGTATTTGCATTTGACTCGACAGTGTTTTAATTTCTTTYCGATACTCCATAATAAACTCTGTGGCCATCTTAGAGTAGGGATGGCTAACAAGTCTTTCCATCGCTTGAATTAGACTCTCATATTTGGATTCATTTAAAGGCTCCAAAAATTTCTGTCGCATTTCATTGATGGACAACCAATCAGTGCCTTTRAGTTGACTAACAATTTAAGAAACAGATGTTAGAAGTAAAAACAAATATTAGTTTATGACTTAAAACATAAAAAATAAATACATTTTTGTTTCTTCGGGCGGATTGACAACACCTTTGCGGACGAGTCGRTCCTCAAACGCATTGAGTCGCTCTGAAAATTCACTTATTTTCTACAAACAAATACATTAACAAAAAAAGTGGTCAAAAAATATATATATAAAAGAAAATAAAACACATTTTTGGTGACAATATATTCTTACAAAACAAGTGTCATAAAAGTTAGGTCTTGCCGTATAATACAATGAATTGAATGGTCGACCATTGATGTCAAATTGGGCCTCTTTTTTCATCGGAAATATTTCTTCGGGCGGTTTCATCTGTGGCCGGGCTCGTTGAGAAAACAGTCCCGACGGCAACAGATATTGAATGGCCATCTGTTTTCAGAAAACAACAAAAAAATACAGACAATTAGGACAATCAGTTAGACGTTTAGATTACTGGTCACTAACATCGATGTCCTTTTGTGTCATACTATTGACATCAACGCCCATAATATTAGCCAAATGTCTTCGTCCGGTCTCAAACTCTTCAGTTTGTTCTTTGATAAACTTGTCGTATCGTTTGGCAGACTCTAAGTAAGCGGACATTGCCTTCGAGATGACATCTTTTCTTGACGTCCTCTTCTGTGACTCCAATTGTTCCTTATTTTTCGGATCAAAGAACGGAGCGAACCTAACCCGCGGCACATTTGGCCGAATAGGATATCCAGCGCCGCGAATGGCCCGATGTGTGACCTCATCTTCAGTGAAAAACTTGTACCGCTTCTGAATGACGGCCAACTGTTTGGCCAAATGTCGRCTCACTTGAAGTCTTACCAAATGTTTGTTCATCGATATCATTGTGTTGTTGGCCAACGATAGCTATGTGTTAGTAGTKTATGTCCACCGATGACCCGCCAAAGTGGTCACCGAAACATTGTTTACAATAATTGAATATTGTCTGCAAAACACGTGACTCTCTCTCTCTCTTTCTTAACATTTATAATAACTGTTTGTTTGAATGTTTAGGTTTTACAATCAATTACATTAAAATTACTTAATTTTTTTTAATTTAATGTCTAAAAAATTAATTTAAAAAWTAATTWTTATTTTAATYATTTAKTTTGTTAATAATTTGTTAGTTTATATATAWATTATATATAAAATATTATAAGTATTATATTTATTTGATTATCAAAATTTAGTTATTAATTTTTAATACATAAAATGATTTATTTTGTTTTTGTTTATTATTAATACAAATAATAATAATTAATTATTAATGACCAGATTAAAAGTTTAATTAATTTTACAAAATGTTTTTTTTAAATTCATTGATAAGATAGTAACAAAAAACAAATTAGGAAATAAAGTTATTAAACTATTAAAATATTTCTAATTAATTCTAATATTTCAAACAAATTTGGGAACATTTTTATATAAAATATTAACAATTTTAAGGATACAAGTATTTGTTTATTTTATTAATAAAAATAAATAAAAATAAATTTTATACCAAATGAAGTAAAATTAATAATATTTTAATCTTTTTTAAAGAGTATATAAATATATTTAAAATGACAGACAATCGTTAAGAAAAACATTAAAATCTTTTTCTGTAACTTTAAATAGCTTTTTATTATTTGTGATTATTATTTAATTTTAATAGGCTATTAAAATAACTTTCGTGCATTCAATAATTTTTGTTGTTGAGTATAAAAACAAAAAATTAAAAAACAAAAAATTCTAAAAATAATAAATTAAAAAATGAAAATATTGGTTTTTTGTTGTTTATTTTGCTATATTAATCACTAACAGTAATTAATTTTTTGAATAAATTTTATAGAATAAATACATTATATACAAATTATTTTTATATAGATATAATGTATTTAAATATATGTAATAAAAATTCAATTATAATAAATAAATCAAACAATTGGTAATATATAAACTTTAATATTTTATTTCATAAACAAGTTGTAAACAATAAAATAATTATTTAAATATATTTCTATAATTATATTATATTCAAATGTATAACATATTAGATTATAATAATTATAAAAAATAGCAATCTTTTTAAAACAAAACTTGATTATTGTTCACAAAAAACTAAGTTTAATCCAATTTTATTGATTCACTCAAATATTTAAACGCTTTAATTAATAAATCACACATAATCTTATGATTGAAAAATTTCATTATAAAAATATGATTTGAAATTAAAATGAAAAAAAAATAATTTTCAAAAATAATTTTGACTACATTTCCATTTGAAGCTTTAATTTAGTTGATTGTGAATCAACAAAATTCGGAGTATTATAAATATATAATATATTTTTWAAAAATATATATAAAAAAATTAATAAAACATATAATATATATAAAAGATTATTATTATTATTATTATATAAATGATTTAAGAGATCCACTACTCGGAGGGAGTTTCAGCAGCTTCTTGAGCTTCACCGCCGGTGCTCTCACTTTCAGCAGCGGGTGCTTCGGCTGCCGCCTCTCCTCCACTGCCATCACTGGCATCGCAGTTGCATTCGGTTTTGGCACACTTTTGTGCGGCCGGTTCGGTGGTGGTCGGCGCTGCCGGTGTCTCCTCTTCAGCCACTTGCACCTGAGCCTCACTTTCAGACATTATTATTGATATATATATATATATATTTTAGCACAAATTTATACTAAAAAAACACTTTAATTTCTCAGACTTCTTGTTGAGTGTCGAGACTGTACCACAAACTCAATGAAAGTGAGAACAAGTTTGCAATTATATACCCTTTATATACCTAAATGACTGGGCATAGTGTGTGTGTGTGTGTGTGTGTGTCTGCCAATCAAACTAAACGGTTAGGAATTGGTTGGATTCAAAACAGTTATGTATGTCGTGTGGTGTGTTTAGTCAGCACTGGTATTCATCACACCTTTTTTCTCTTATACCCTGTATTTGTTAGTATATTATATGTATGTATGTATAACATCAATAGTTTTCATTTTTCTCATATGGCATTGATGTGTTTTGATGGCAATACAAACATTTATTGAATTTTTCAAATATATACTTTATTATTGAGAATCTCGGTTATCAAACATTTTTTTTGACAAACATTACAAATATAATATCAATTTTGTTTCTATCAATTAATTAATTACAAAAAAACAACACAGTATTGTATTGCTTTTTTTGCGTCATCCAGTTATAGGAATCGTGTCTCAGAAGGAGTGCCCTAATAATACCGGAGCCGAGACATGTACTGTACAATAGATTCCATATTATAATTAATGGTAAATATATTATATGTATATATGATATGATATGTAAGCAACGGATTTGACTATTTCATGCCAAACAAAGTCATATATCTTTTTGCAAACACATTGAGGCTATGATCCTGTCATAGGAATTATGTCATAACATAAATACAGTGTATTTACACTATTATGTACTCGATTTTAATCATTAAATATATTATACAAAGAAAATAAAAAATWAAAATCCATATTATAAACACTTTTACTCAATTTTTATGATAATTTATTTGCCAGTGTTTGCGCTTAAATTGAAACAAATCAAATAAAACCAAAAAAAAATTATATTAAAAAAAATTAATAGAGAAAAATTCTGTATAAAAGATTTTTGATTACAAACAAAAAATAACAAAATTTTATCATAAATTAAGTTATGAAATGTACAAAATAATAATAAAAAACGAAATAAAAAAAACAAGTGGGCGATACACTCGATCATTGGGTTATTGTATAGATTTTTTCTAAAAAAAGTGATTCATAACTATTTAATAACATCATTAAAAATTAGAAAATAAAAAAAAATCTATTGGGAATATATATATTTTTAAATTTAAAAAAAAATCTTAAATAGATATATAAATAAATGGGAGGAATAAATATAAAGTGCATCGTTGGTTATACTCTATACATRTTTATCAAGCAAAACATATTAACAATGAATATCTGTATACTTTATTTGAAAAAGTCATATGAGTTTGTTTTTTCTGGATAATATAAAAACCGGATTTTTTGTTTTGATTTTTTGTTTGCTTGTTGTATAAAATATTAGTTCGTAAAATGTTATAATAAATTGTTGTTTTTTATTTGCAAATTTTTACGAATTATAGATATTTTTCAAATGTTTTTTGTTGTCTGGAAAAAAATAATAGTAAATTTTGTAGTAATACAGTAGTAGTTTGAAAAAAAAGTTTTGCTTTTTTCTAATTCATTTATTTCCTTAATTTATAAATTAATGGTAAATAATATATCAATGAATCAGATTAAAATAAATAATAGGTTTAAAAAATAAATTCTCTCCATCAGTGAATTTCCTATATTATAGAATATATATATTCAATATATATAAAAATTTTTATGATTACACATTAAATTTAAATATTTATAATACAGTAAAAATTGAAAATAAATAATTATCATAGTAATTATCAATCATTTGCTAATTAAATTATAATTAATAAAAAAAGTTATAACTATTACTGTTTGTATGATAAATTTTTCTAAAAAAATTAATTTTTTTACATTTTCATAGAATTTTAAAGGAAAAATTTATTTAATAACTTCCTTTTTAACTCAAATGATGTTGCCCTTCCTCTGCAATCACACACACACACACACACACACACACACACACACACACACACACACACACACACACACACACACACACACACACACACACACACACACACACACACACACACACACACACACACACACACACACACACACACACACACAYACACACATACACATACATACATACATACATACATAATACACTTGTGTTTGCTCAATAAACTGCTGACTAATTCAGTAATAAATGTATTTCCGACTAATTTTTAAAAGCAAGTGTTCAAAAAAATATATAATTGTTAAATATAATAACAATAAAACCATCTGTATAAATATCTGGTAATAATAATAATAATAATACTATTATTATATTTATAATATTTTAAATCTAATTTTATTAACAGATGTATTCAATATTTTTATGATTCTGTTTTGTGTTAAACAATTGAGTCAATGAATAAAATTTTCAATTTAAGTGACATTGAAATGCTTTTTCATTAATAAAAATTGATAAATCTTTTTTTTTACTATTATTTATTATTAGAAATCTTAATTTAATTATATTTAAAAAGTTTAAGTAAAGTAAAGTTTAAAAAGTTTATATTATAAATTTTATATATTAAACTGTATTATATGATGAAATAAATTATKAATGGCGCCAATTAATTATAAGAGTATTTATTAAATAGAAAAACATCAAAAAAATTATTTATAATTAATAATATGTTATAAAAAGATATATCAATTATAATTATATGGTCAGTATTATCATTGTTGTTATCTCTTAGACGTTTTTTCATATAAGAAACAGTCGTGTATTTAATTTATAATTATAATTTTGCTAAAAATATAAGCACTGTATCTTAAATAAAAAAATACTAAAAATAAAAAAAAATTCTCATCAAAAATTCAAGAAATTCTTTGTATTAAAAAATATATTATGAATTAAATATTTATAAAGTTTTATTACTTTTTTCTCATTGACCCACTTATCGATGATAATATTTGAATTGAAATGTGACTGCAATTTGTTAGCTAACACTTTATATACATATTGAATATAATAACTTCTAAATTTGTTTTTTATACTATTTTTCTGCTAAGTTTTTTATATGGCATATGTTTAATGAAACTAAAAAAATGGTTTTTATATTTATAAACATTTTTGTTTTTGTTTTGTGTAAATATATACTGTTTAAAGTGTGAAACAGTCTTATGACCAGAAAAGAGAGAAATAAAGAGAGAGAGAGAGAGAGAGAGAGATTGTGTTTAATTTTAAACGTATAGTTGTTATCGAAATAAAAATTATAAAGTTATGTATTATTAATGAAATTAAGAGACGACTGACTGACTACTGACTACAATATCAATGAGTCTTATGATTCAAAACATAA